AGTGGCACACTGTCCCAGTTCTAGCTGAACTGTGTGTTGGAAAGTTAATCTTTAGATAGTCAGGTGGCATCCAAGCACCTTGAGCCCGATGGTTTGGGACTAGGCAGCTAAGGGGTGAACAAACCCTTAGGACCTAGTTATTTCTGAACTAAAACCTCCCAGGAAGTGTTGAGCCCTCCCACCTGAGTGCATTTCCCCAGAGCCTCTCCTTGCCACTGTCTAATCCCTCTTTCATGCCCTGCAATGCCCCATCTGCTTGCCCAGTCTCACAGTGTGGAGCTGTGCTTTGTTCCCCCCTCCCCACCGCTCTCCTTGGCCTTGGGTGTGTCATATGTTGGATCTTGACTTTGCTTCGACCCCACGGTATAACAGCTTCCCTCAGAAGCCATTGGTGAGCACAAGGTGTTGGGATGCGTTAAGCTACTGGTCTGGCTCATTAAGCCTGTGCTCCTGTAGCACCTGAACCCTGTTCAAGTCCATGGTCTGAGAACATGCATGGATGTGACCCAGAGATCACCCCAGAGTGAAACAAGCCACCTCTGCCTTGGCGGTGACTCCCTCCATCTCAGGAGCAACATAACAGTGGCTTTGGGCCACGGCTTTCCTCACGTGTTACTGTTCCTGCCCAGATATGGCTGGATCTAGTGAGTGCTCATGAAATAGGGACCTGTGTCCAACACCATGGGTCTAACAATAATTGCAGTTGCGGGGGTAAAAAGGATATACTTGCTTTTATCCTTTGTTGCTTTTGGTTCTGAGGCTTTTGGTGGGCTTTGATTTTCAAAATATGATGTTTTCCCTGGATCCAAAATCTCCCGGACTAGAATTTCATCTTGGGAAAAGCACACAAGAACATGTTATAGAGCCAATGATGCAGGGCAGATGTTCTGTGAAGAATTGAACTTCTTCACAGAAGTGAAAAAGGCCACCTGTCAGCCCTGCACTAGAAAACGCAAGAAACTTGTGAACAGTGGCTTTACTCTGGAGAATTCATCTGGGGAGGCTGTCCATACTCCCGCCTTCCCAAATATAGAAAACTTGAGATGGTCTGAGTATCCCCTGAGATCCCTGTAATCCAGATGTTGAAGGTCCCTTAATGCCCTTGTCTTCCAAGGCTTGCTCCCTCAGTGACACTGGTGGGAAGATGGAACTTCCTTACAGGCAGAGCCTAGAGGGAGGTCTTTAGGTCATTGGGGCTATCTATAAGGGAGGTGGTGGAGCTCTGGTCCCCTTCCTTCTTTAGCTCCTTGGCCATGACATAAATGGTTTGTTTTTGTTTGTTCATTTGTTTCTTTGTTTTTAACCACCACACACTTGCACTATGATGTGTGGATGTGTGACCATTACTCAAAGCAACAGAGCCAACCAAACAAGGACTAGAAACTCCAAAACCGACCCTAAATATATCTTTATCCTTATAAGTGCTTATTTCTGGCATTTTGTCATCGTAAGAGAAATCTAATACACTCTTCAAAGACAGTGCCCACACCCAGTCCCTGCTCGTGGTTCACTTCATGCTGTCCTGACTGCCCCCGAGTGCTGACAGGACAGATCCTTGCCTGCACATGTCCAGCCTTTCTTTTGTGGGGTGCGACTCTGCATGGCCTGGAACTCACTCTGGATATCGGGCTGGCCTTGCTCTCAGAGATTCACCTGCCTCCGCCTCCTGAGTGCGTCCCCACCCCAGTCAGTCTCCTTTTACTGCCTCTCCAAGAGGTCTCTTACATGTGTCCTGGACTTCATATCCAACCAACTCTGGCTCTTTTCTCAGTCAGATATGAACAAGGATGAGTTTCTTTGTGTCTGTAGCTTCCACTGGACCTTCTGTAAAATGGGATGTAAAATCTCATGCCTTTTATGAGGCCAACCGCATCCAGCATTGTGTGGGGGTCATAGCTGGAAATAGCCCCTGTCTCTGTAGCATCATGGCCCTGTGACCCGGGGCAGTGCAGGGAAGCTGTCTGAAGCTTTATGTGACCCACTCATGGGTCAGAAGATGAGGCCTCCGGCTGGGTGGGAAGCAGGTCTCCTGTATGTGACACAGGGTAGCATAGGAGGGTAGACAGGGCAGCATAGGTAAGCTGGGACCATTTGCTCACTCATTCGTGTGACCAGTCCATCACTAGGGGAGGCCATGATGATTCCCCAGCTCCGACTCAGAAAGGAGCAGAGCTGACCTGCTCAGACAGCTTCTCCGGGCCTCACTTTACCGAGTGTAAAATGAGGGGAGGGGTGGTACGGGGCGGTGAGCACAGTTCACAGGACAGACATGGGCACATGGACACAGCAGGGAGTGTGGCTAGTGCAGACAGAATTAGCCTAGGTATGAAGTGCACACTGGACTTTGTAGATCGATCTGAAAACTGACCACATCAGTCATTTGGCATGGTCTACATGCCAAAGTGCCGCACCAGGTGGATCGTGCAACAGCTGCCTCTGAGGGACAGTATGGGTCACACCAATGGTCCTCATCCTGCTGTGCTCTGAGCCCCTTCCAGAGAGCTGCAGGAAACCCTGAGGTACCATGTTCAGACAAGGCCATAGAGGCTGAAACCCTGTGTAGAGGCCAGGTCCTCACCACCTCCCTGGGGACTGCCCTGCCTGCTCGGGACCAAGGAGACTGAGGAGCTGTTTCCTGTCCTCAGATCTCTCAGTTGCACACACATTGCACCAGTGGATTCTGAAGTGGAAGGCCTGAGCAGGCCGTGGTGCAGGGTGTTTGAAATGAGTCCACGGGTGACAGACTACCACTCCCTGGACGCCATTTAGAGAGGCAGAGCTCCACGTGCATTTTGGTTCTGACAGTCATTCTGACTTCAGCACCAATGCCCGCCGCGGGCCAGAAGAATGTGGTTCTGACCTTAAACCAAATCGGTTCCTCCAGTGCCTGTAACTGACACCAGGTTGTCTGGGACATGCTTTGGTGAGTGCCCGCCCTCCCTCACCATGGGACCTGGTCTTCCCCTGGGGAGTCCTTACCAAACACTGTAGCGATATCATCATCCAGAGCTTTAAAACTTGGCAGTTGTCTAGCCCTTAAACCTGATAAGGGAAATAAAAAAGACAACCCTATAGTTTACAGCACTTACTGATCTTTGCACCCACCTCCCTGTGACCGGGTCGTTGTGAGGAGCGGCCCCAGCCAGCTCTAGGGGAAGGACCTTGTGTGGAGTACTGCCCTTTCCCATGTGTGCTGAGGGAAGCTCTTCAGGACTTTTCTCATATGGAAGAAAAAGGCGTTACCTATGGGATGGCTGTGTGGGTGGAACCCATGATTTCCCCAAGTGCCCCGATTAGAACCGCTCTCTTAGTCACTAGAGTCATCCTCGTGGAGGGTAAGACAATGTCCACACTCAGGGACAACTCAGCTCTATCGCAGGGGCAAAGAAGGAAGAGGGTCGTGTGCTCTGTTGTAGGAGGCAATGCTTTGTCTCCTGCATGGCTGGTGATGCTATCTGGGCGGCCACCAGGCTGGGGAACTCCATCCTGGGATCCCATCTGAGCAGCCCAAAGCGCAGCTTGGCACACAGGGGGAAGCAGACCTTGCCATGCTTCTGACTAAGACTTTCCATGTTGCTTTGTCCTGTGACGAGAAAACACCTCACAAGTGTTTTTCTCTGAGCCCCAGGTGACCCTGCACGCTCTCTCGTGCTACCTGAGGTTCTCTCGGGGGAGGGGAGGCCAGAGGCTGGTCATCTCCTTCCTCCTGTGTGAGCAGAGCCCTCCAGGGGGTCTGTCTGCTGGTAAGAAGTGGAGTCCCTGGTTAGTGAACTGAAGAGTTCTGGATGGCAGTTGTCTCCAGGGCTGTCTTATCTGTGATGTCTGCTTCCTGATGGACAGGAGCAGCTGGGCTGGGCGTATAGGGTCTGGCTCTGTCTGGGCACTGTGGGAATTCTGAGAACCAGTTTCTCTTCAGCGTCCAGCACACACTTCCTCCTTCCGACGTGACCTTTGTTTATCTTGGGGTCTGTGCTGTCTCTTGATCTGATACATCCCTTAGTTTGAGCTCAGGGTTGGCCTCTTCTTCCAGCTCCCAGGTCCTGGGACCCAAAAGATGGCAAACAGGGCCACCATCCCTTCCCTTCTCTTTTCGAGGCACAGAGCTGTCTGGGAGAACTAAAGTTGCAGCTAAACCAATGACAAAGCTGTTCTCAAAGGCTTTAAAGATGGACAATCTGCATCCCAATGTGCTCATCTGCACGGCTCAGAACAATGGGAAATATGTAAGGAGGTCTGTGCCGGTGATGACAATTGCTTCCCAGTGTGCTGACCTCGGTAAACCAAACAAACAGTACAGTTCTCTCCGCATGAGACATTAATGGATCATTACGAACGGGTACAGCTGCGCAGCGCCAGCACTTTGTTAAAAATATTCTTTTCATCTTGTGTCTGTCCCGTAATCACAATGGAAGCATTGTGCAAGTCAGCCGTGCGCACATGCGTGGTATGTATGCGCATGTTGTCCATGCCTGTTAACGTGCATTGTCAAGTGTAGCTGCTCTACCGTGCTTTTCCTGTTGCCACCTCCTCCGGAGAGTCGCAGCTTCCAGACAGCACACATCCCCACAAGTCAGAAACACTCCGATGTCTCAACACTGCCCACATCAGCACTGGCTTCATGAAGCTCACTGTTGGGTTGAGTTCACTCCAGGTAGTTGAGTGAACACAAGCCAGAGCCCTTCTCCATCACAAGACTCACATCAACTGCTAGCATTGCTAGCCTTCTCAGTGGGTAACACCTTCCCCTGAGGAAACCACACACACTTGGTCACAGTTCTTCTCCTGGCAAGCAGTGGAGCACCCAGGATGGGTGAGGGGACCTGTGTTACCCCAAGACAATGGAGAACTTCTCCTTTCCCTGGTCCCTCAAGCTGAAGAAGACCTTGGGGGTCATGCAGGGCTATGGCCAGGTCTCGAGCTAGGGAGGAGACCTTGAGAGATTATTACTAGATCTCTTTGTGAGGTTATTTATTTATTTATTTATTTATTTTTCTTTTTATGCAAGGTCTCTACAAAACTCTGGCTGCCCTGGAACTTGCTTTGTAAACCAGGTTGGTCTTAACCTCAGAGATCTGCCTGCCTTGGTCTCCGAAGCGTGGAATTAAAGGTACGTGCCGCCACACCCAGCCTAGACCTTGTGGTAACCATTCTACCATTCTACAACCGATGGAGACCATGAGGCTCACCCAGGGGTTCAATGCAGTTTTAAGCTAGAGAGGACCCTGAATGCCATCCCAGTTTTGACCAGGTCTTAGGAGAAAATGACCGGATAGCATTGAGAGCAAATCCCTTAACAAACACCAGTTGAGACAGTCTCAAGCACAGGCAGGAATTGTGCACAGGAGTAGACAGGTGAAGCTGCCAGAGACATTCGTGAGGACCAGCATCCTGCACCTATTCTGGATCCTTCTGACACTCACTACCATATAATAGTTGCTATATAAATGACCAGACTATGTTTCTTCAAGAAAGAGGGAGGCCAGCCATACCAATACATTGGTGGGTTCTTTAACTTAAAGAATAGGGGAGATAAAAGCCCCACTACGCATAACCCAAGTATGTATAACTATAGGAGGGCGGAAAGTCCACTCCTACACATTCACATCATAGCAGTAGCGGGGATTAACAGCACAAAGGTCTCACTGTAGACAGATCTCATATCCTGGGAGCTCACATACTGCAGAGGAGTAACCGCCACAGGTGGCGCATACCATACCTTCAGCTGCTGGCTGTGGTGAAACTTTGTTGAGGATCAGAGTGCGGAGCTAAGCCACTAGATAGCCATAGAGGTCAGGCAGGGTGGCACACACCTTTAATATCAGCCTTCGGAGGCAGGTGGATCTCTGTGAGTTCAAGGCCATCCTGGGTTACACTAGCTTGTTCCAGTCTCAAAGAGAAACAGAGCCAGGCAGCAGTGGCTCACATCTTTAATCCCAGTACCCGGGAGTCACACACCTTTAATCCCAACACTAGGAAGGTAGAGACAGGAAGGGATATGGCTGGGCAGAGAGAGGAATATAAGGCAGAGGAGACAGGAGCTCAAGGAATTCAAATCTGAGGACTTGTAGAGACAGGATACCCCATTCAGTCTGAGATTTTCGCAGAGGTAAGAACTAATGGCTGGCTTCTCTGATCTTTCAGCCTTCACCCCGTGATATCTGACTCCGGGTTTTTATTGACACCAATTAGAAATCATGTTCCAGCTGCATGATAACTCCTGAACCACTAGAGGACGATGCTCTTGTGAGCCCGACCAAGAGGAAATATGTACTCTATCAAAACCCGCTCATCACCAAAGAGGTCAGATGGGAGTGAGACCAGGAAGTTCAGTGGGGGGTACAAGTGAAAGGCTCACAGTAGATCAAGATCCAAAATATGTCAAGCACAGAGTCACCTTGATGACCAAGATAGAGCTGTCTACCCCCAATTCAGTTAAACCAAATAGACTTACCAAGATAGAGCTGTCTACCCCCAATTCAGTTAAAC